TAATTACTATACTAGAATTTCTTATAATAATAGCTTTTATATAGAGCTCTATAGCTTTAAGTTTATAATAGTACTATTAGGGAAAAATCCGGCGTTGGCCCGTCCGCGGCATTGGCCCGTCCGGCACCTCTACATCTAGCTTACCCACTTACGGGATCTAATATATCAATCAACTTAATCGATGCACGCTTTTGTAACTCGATGAATTTATCTTAGCTATTACGTTTTTGAACCGATTGAATTGAGCTAATCGACAAATGGATTGTACCCTGGTCTGGCCGTGGCGGTCAAATCGCGCATCGCGCTGCGCCAACTACCATAACCGCAGCTGCTAGGAATGCCTCGGCAAATGACGATGCAAATGTCCATAAAGGCAAATACGAGCCTTCTCTCTCGATCCATGCCGTCATATCGTCACGCAAAAAGCAATTTCACATCTCGTATGTCAGCCGGCCATCAGTGTCAACAGCGCCGATGTTGGCGTGAGTAAGGCGCTTACTTAGCGCGCTCCTTGGGCGTAGTTCTCATATAGTTTGCCCGAGCCGCTTCGCTAACCTCTCCATAGATTTAAAGCACCCAAGAATACCAAGAATACCAAGACCGCTATGCCACCGTTCTCCAACTCCCTCAAAGCGCGAAAAGAGCTCACTGTATTTGCTGTATATGATGGCCAATAAGCACACTAGGTAGCATGGAGCAATTGCTGATATCTAAGCTGACAAGACTCCACTAGTGGAAGCGCAGTATTGTTAATAATGCTGAATAATATCTCCATATTTATCTAGATTAATACTTCACAAATCCAAGGGTATCTAATAGGGTAAGAAGGCGGACGAAATTACTAACAGGCTGATACGAAGTAAGAGAAAATTAAAGAGTAGGGATAATTGCATGTTTCAGTAAAAGTCCTTTATACAGAGAGCAAGGGGCACATTGTGTTTCGCTGATGATGCCATATTCACACTATAACTACCTGCACTCATCACCACTCCAGCGTCTCCTACTTCTACTGTTGATACTCGTCGTACTTATCATAGTCATCATCATCACCCTTCCTGCACAGGCGCCTTCAACACTTTCTTGAGATCAAGTACTGTCGCCGAAAACGGCGTGTGAAGCCCCTTACCAAAATCATCGTATGTCTCACCACCATAGATCATCAGATGATCCGGTCTTTTTTTGAAGATCTGGATAGCACGTGAGTACACTGCTCCCGCAGGCGTCGCATGCTCTTCCCACTTGTCTAAAGCACCGCCATGCGAGTTGGTGTATACCTGCCTCCGATCTGCGTCAGATACTATAATTGTACCTTGAGGTCCACCAATAGGGCTCCAGACCACATATGGGCTAGCATTGGGCACGGTGCTGTTGTTGATGACGATGGGTCGACCGACGCTCTTGCGAAAGTCCAGAGGAGAGTCAGCCATAACATAGTATACGGGGTAGTTGGAGCCATAGGAGGAGGAGTTTCCGATTGGCAGTTCGTGTACGAGGATCCATTTCTTCAGAGGCGGGATATAATCGACAACGGTCATACCGGGACGGGCTGTGTACTGTTCATAGGCTACATCGTCAACGACAGGTCCCCAAGTCTTGAGATCGGTGGACGTTTGGTGAGCGAGCTTTTGGCCGTGCTTCGGGTCACGTTGGTCCGAGTAGTAGGCGACCAACTGGCCTTTGTACTGACTAGGGCCTCGTTAACTCGAATATCGGAAATAAATGAGGGGTGAGGGGAATATGACTTACAGCAGATACGGCTCCCAGATTGGTGTGGCTCCGTTTGTGGTGTTGGGTCTTCCGCCTTCGGCAATATGGCTTACAAATTGCCACGTTCTTGCCCGGTCTTTGCTAGCATATAGATCGATCCTTGTGCTATTAGGCCCCCAGCTATTACCGCTACCCAAGATTGTGCCAGCTGGGTAGCCTCCCATAGGCTCGGTCAATTCTGTTAAGGCAGGCTGCGCACTCATGCCAAAGCCATTAACAGTATCGCGCAAGTCAGAAACGTGCTTCCATGTAGCACCACCATCCTTAGATTCAAAGATAGGGAAAAAGTTGGGCGAGTTTCCAGATAGAGATGCAGTTGCGATAATAGTTCCATCCCGCAACTCAGTGTAGCGAGGATACGTGATACCCTCGCGGCCAGTTGTCTGGTAGATAGTGTTGTTCACGAAAAAGCCCCATGGCTTAGGGGTGCTGCTCTCGAAAACTGAAGAAGGGAAGGCAATGACGCTACCAACAAAGACAGCAGCTGTTGCCAGGGTGTATATATGGAGCCTCATAACCGCAATATCTTCTGCTGAATAGGCCCAGGTAGTAGATGACTGACGGGAGTTGATCCCAACCTATGGACAGCAACCTGTGTTTATATATCCTTGCAATATCCTCGCCTCCAAAATATCTACTATAACGTCGATCCCTACGTGCCAGGAAGCACGGTATAACGGGACACTTTCTCTCCCGGTCCCTCGAACCGTCAGCTATTGTCCTGTAGTACTAATTCCTTCAGCTAGCTAAACCCCATCCAGCCTACATCGGTAATTACTAAAGCTAGTTAGTCAGTATAATGTACCCCGCAAGCGAGCAGTCCACACGGGCGATCGGTTCACTTTTGCCAACCCCTCACCGAAACTACTACATCATAGCCTAAAACCATCACATTATAGCCTGAAACCACCACACTATAGCCTAAAAAACCAGTTGATGGGCAACGTAAGGAGAAAGAGAGACAGGTCGATCAGAAAAGTAGATTGGCTCTTTTGATTTGTGCTGCGGCTCCCCATCCTAGAAACTGCTGCACATGCGTTACTGGAGTTGTGTCTTCAGCTCTTGGTGGGTTTTCCGTATGCGGTGTACGTAACGGCGCACATCGTACTGAGCAAAGAGGCTGCCGGCGGTGGGCAGATTCTTACCGCTTTCGGCGCTTAAGGGCTTGCTCTCCTTGGAGACTTGAGTGATTCCCTCTCTGGTTGTCTATCCAGGGCAAGTCACGAATTTTATCCATCTACATGATGCGAAACTAATTGCCAAATAATTTAGTAAATCAAACGAGCCGCTGGTTTATCTGTCAAAAGCTTGACTTCATGCTTTAAAGATAGGCAGTTTCAGGGTAAGACTAAATGAACAATTCAATCTTACGATGATCAAAGAAAGCATATCGGCGACGGAGGAACTAGTTAGAAACCAGAAGGGACTAAGGCAAAGATGAAAGTTGAATGGAAGAGTATATATTTAGTAATCGGGTAATTTAGTAATAATAGAACAGGGCTTTAGCTTTCTGATCACTCTCTCTTCATCATTGACATACCATTGTCATGTGCATTCCTTTCTGACGTGACCCTGATATCTACCTCCTATTCTACTCTACTATTTTGATACCCTTCTTCCTCCGCATACAACATACCTCCTCACAATACCCTAGCCATTTTTTGGATTCAGCAGAACAGTTTCGCAAGTCATTTGCGATATCTCGTCGCAGTGTTATTTAACAATCGCCAAGCAGAAAAAGGTAATTTCCATGCTCGGATAAAAAGCGGTCATACAAGGCACAGGCCGCTATCCAATGCATCTCCCAAACTTATGATTTGCGCCCTGTACTGGTACATGTTCAGTGTCGTATATCCCTATTTTTTTTGCAGTTGTCGGATGTGAAAAACGCCAAGCTTTGCAAATTGATCGATAGTGGTAATATTGTTTTAATATACATTGGACCAACAGTGAGGGCTACTGTGACCTAGCTTGCCAAGCCTTCCTTCAATATTGCATCAGCGATTTTTCCCGCAACTGCATATACACTTGCGCTCAGATGGCCAGATATTTGCGTAGGAAATGCGCTAGCATCCACCACTCTCACGTTTCGCGTACCATACACCTTGCCCTTGGAATCGACCACTCCACCTAAATCCCGACTCATCATTGCGCAAGTACTAGCAGGATGCGAGTTGCCGCTGAGAGTCTTCTTGATCCAGGCGTCCCAACTTTGGTCCCTCCATCCTGCTCCTTGCGGTACAGTTTCAAAACCGGGGGAGACTTCGCTAATGATGTGATCGGCAAGGGGCGCAGTGGCGAAATATTCACGAATACGAATCGCGGCTGCTGCCTGGACATATGCATCAATAGGCAGCTGAAGAAATGCGGGGTCGATTTGAGGGGGTAGCATTGGGTCGGTAGCATTGATATGAATGGAGCCTCGAGAGAGAGGCAACAGATTCCAGAGCTGGGCAGCTATGTTGTTGCCTATTGGGGCCCATAAAAGCTCAGCTAGTGGGACCTTGCTATCAGAATCAAATATCAAATCGACTTGATGCTTTAGGAGTAGCTCTTGCGTCTCGACTGAAATCGTATTTGATGCATAGTCGGCAACAATGGCGGCTGCATATGCGCTCAGGTTGGCTCTGACCTCTTGGGTAATTGAATTTAATTCGTCGCCGAAGAGATCAGATGCTGTCAAGTAGGTCACAAAGGTAGGATATCCGGTCCAGTTGGTGGATGAGGAGTAAACGATGCCGTTCTGCGGCTGGTCTGGTAGATTTGATCCAACGGAATATAACGGGACAACTGTTTCAATGCCGAGGGGCCCAAGAATAGCAGGATTACCCACACCAGAGTGTTCAAGGAATGCTGGTGATCTGATGGCACCAGCTGCTACAACAACTTCCTTCCCAGCACGGATAGTTTGGGTAACATTGCCTGCAGTGATGACCTCAACACTAGATGCCAGCATTCCATCCGCAGTCTTGCCATTTCCCCAGGCAATTTTCTTTGCCGTAGTGTTGAGAAAGATGCGTAAGTTTGGCCGAGATGCGACAGGATAATAAAAGGCCCTTGCCCCATCCTGACGTGTTGGCCCAGCCTCGCTCAACGTCATGGGCCAGGTGTTGAAGCCACGCATGATGCCATTGTTTGCATCTTGATTGTAAGGAAATCCAATCGCCTCAGAAGCTTCTTTCATCAACTGAGCAAAACCTTGGCCGACAAGATATGGGGTGAAACCCACAGCAAGACCACTGCCATTTCCGTGCGCGTCAGCCTTGTACACTGCTCCCTTTTGCTTAAGTTGATCGGTAGGCTGCTGGAAATGCTCTTGTGTGAGAAAGTACTCCCACATACTATCCCAATTCCACTCCTGATTTCCCAAGTCTTGCCAAGCGTCGATCTGGTCCTTCTCTGCACGTAGATACGTCATGCCGTTAATGGCCGTGCTCCCGCCCAGCGCCTTCCCCGCCCAGTAGGGAAGTGTGTTGTTGGCCACATATCTTTGAGGCACAGTCATGTAGCCCCAGTCAGTAGAAGTTCCGATAAAAAGTCCGTACTCGGCGATAGACTTTGGAACATGTGTCACATTGGGATTGTCGTATACGGAATCACCAGCTTCAATCACCGCAACCGTGGTGTTTGGATTTGCCGACAAGCGGTTCGCAATAACAAGTCCTGCTGCACCTCCACCAACAATGACATAGTCGAAAGAATCAGGTCCACACGCAGCGGAGACCAACCGGACCAGGCTGAGAAACAGGAAGTGGCGTAACATGATAGACGAAGGTTGTTTAAGAGGTATGCCCTGGCACAGAATCCTACTCCTTATACCAGATGTATGAGGGGTTTACCGAGGAAGAAGGTGTCCTAACGCCTCTGCTTGCGGCGTCATAGTGGTAGCGTCGTAGTGCTGTCATTGGCTAGTTGCGTCATTGACAAGCTTGGCAGTGTGAGTGGTGGCCTAACTGTCTGTCGGGTCATGTTTGAACGGAACGGTATACGAAGCATGCCGCAATTATGACTAACCTTAGTGGTGGAATAGATGTGGCAGCAAAACCTTCCGATGCCGTCATGATCTGGAATAACATTCCGAGAAGCGCAAGTTGACGCGCATATGGTGGTGGATGTCTATGTACTTCTTGTACAGTACGATGCTGCTATAACAAATTCAACGCTATGCCTATTCCAGCAGGTCGACTGGAAGAGTGCGTCCAAACAAGGCGTAACCGTCGCCAAAATTGTCGTCTACGTACCCCTCCGTAAACCTGTTCAAACGTCCTTGTAGAAGCAAGAAAGGTGTGCGGAACATCGAATCTAGCCCACAGCACTCATGGCGCTCTTACGTCAATTCAGTCTAGGGACATTGTGTTGACTACTTTTGCTTTCTGACAGAGGCATCAGTCAACCTCACATCACCATCCCTCATTAACAGGACATCCATCCTTGTTGCTCAACATTGCACCTAGGTCTTACAATCATACTGCGTAAACGAGAAGAATATGTAGCTATCGAATCCGCTTAGCACACGGTTCATGTCAAAGTAACAGCCATCGTGAAAATTAGGACGGCCAACCTACACAAAATTTGTAGTTGCATCAACATATCCTACATATTTGTCGCATCACTTAAGTCTCAGGTACGCAGCATCATCATAGAAAGAAAATCCTAATGCGTACTGTTTGCCTATTAACCATCATACAGGATAAGCAGTTACATATCTAAACCAACAACTCTCTTTGCTAAAAAAAAGGCTGCTCGCCAATCTCAGACTAAAACAAACATTCTTCAACCTACTCGGCTTCACTCAACGCTATGATACCTCAGCGTCATCCTACTACAAATCTCATTGCCACTCATCTGGCAAACCAACCTTCTCATATGCTGCCTCATAGCCGCGCTGCGACTCTCAGACTCTACCAGCCGCGCGTGCATGTAATCGTGCACAATCTCCCACTACCTCACCATGGACCATAAGACGCGCTTCGACGACGCCGTGCCCATCCCAGCCTCATCAGCAAGGATTTCAACTGCAGAGCCCAACATAGTGCCTTTTTCGTGAGGGACTTTGATGCTTTGAGCTCCTTCTCCTAGCTGTAAATGTCGCTTATAACGGATATTTGCTTGGAACAGTTTTGCTCGAAGAGACCTGTTTGAGAGAGGGAAGAGGGGTGCAGCAACAGCTCGAACGTCTTAACAAGTGGATAAAGGGCATGACCGTTGTGAGCGGATCTGGGCCGATACTGCGAAGGTTGTGCATCGCCGACGCCAGGTTGGAAGCCCTGTACTTAAGCCCATAGGCGGCCTCATGATGCGGATGACGACGGCCATGGGCACCGGTACTTTGAATAATAAGGGAGCAAGCCACGCAGCTGGAGGAACGAAGCATACGCACGCGGATCCTGGCAACGGTCCGCTTTACTTACGGGGTTTGAGTTCTGCCCAGCCGCGTCCAAACAAGTACACACCGATTGATGGGGCGAGGAAAGAATGTGGACAAGCCGGTCGATTCGCCATATATATTCTATCTAGTAGCAAATACTACACCATGTATCTCCTAATGTACTAGTGTCGACCTAAGCCTTGGGAGAGCGGGCAAACTGTCCCGAGTGGCACGGTCGACACTACTGTGCAGACATTCCGCTACCATATCTGACGCACTCATATCTGCCTGTCCTTCCGTCTGTATGGCTATCTCACTCGCCCTCACCCTCTACTTCACCTATCTGCCATCATGACGCACTCGCCCAAGACGGTTCTCATCACCGGCTGCAGTGTTTGCGGCATTGGCTCAGCACTTGCCCTCGAATTCCATCGTCGTGGCCTGCATGTCTTCGCTACGACCCGCAGCTTTAACAAGATGGCCTATCTGACCAACCTTGATCGTGTTACGCTGTTGCAACTCGACATGACCTCGCAAGCGAGCATTGCCGCTGCCGCTGCTCAAGTTGACAAGACCACTGGTGGTTCCTTGTATATCCTCACCAACAACTCCGGCTCTCAGTATACCACTCCATCCATGGAAGTCAAGCTTGATGCTGCCCGCTCCATGTTCGAGGTCAATATCTTTGGTGTTGCCGCTGTCTACCAGGCCTTCGCCATGTTCATCACGACCGCCCACGGAACCATTATCAACGTCTGTTTCATATCTGCTCACGTGCAGACTCCCTCTATGGGCTTCTACAGCGCCTCCAAGACTGCCTTTGAGGTAATGAGCGAGAAGATCCGCCTAGAAATGGCCCCTCTGGGCGTCCATGTCATATCTCTCGTCCCCGGAGCCGTCGGCTCCAATATCATGACCAACGGTGCCACCCCAGAACTCCCAGATACATCACCCTTCAAACCTGCTGCGAAGGGGATGGTGACTCTAGCTAAAGATGGAGACTGTCACGCTCGCATGCTCACTGAAACATTTGCCAAAAAGGCTGTAGACGATGTGCTCAGTGATGCTGAGGGGAAGCTGTGAAGAGGATAGAAGGCCTGGATCATCTACTGGCACACCAAGCTCACGCCCTTATCGATACTGGTAAGTGGGGTCTTCATAACCGCTCTCTTCACTGTTGACTTACCATTTATAGGACAGATTAATATCCAAAGATTCTGGCTTAGATCGCCTGGCGAAGAAGTAGCCCCCTTGGTTTCTGTCCTGCTCCTTGAGTGCCTGATCCCAGTAACTGCTCTTGGGCCATTGTTTTTTCTCTTCAATAGCCATTTTACTTGGTACTATGTTAGGAATCATCTACTAGTCTAAGCAGAAGTACTTGCTATTAGTCGGCTTCAGTTCAGCTAGACTTCAGCCAGATCCATACAGCTATACCAGATACGCCATACATAAACACGCTTTACGTACGGATCTAGGAGCCGCCGGCTTTTCCAAACTGCTTCTAATTGGCCGTGGATACTTTATAGCCGGGCGTGCCAGATACACCATTGATAAACCAAATCCATACGCTCTACGCACAGGTCTGTAATGCGTTACTTCATGGCTGGGCGTACTGCATACGCTGGACTAATACCAAATCTACACGCCCCGCGTACTAGTCTAAGGGACGCTAGCTATCTTACTAATTTCATCCCTACAGCTAGTGTTGCATTACACACTCTTGTGCACCAGCACTGTATATTCAAGATGCGTTCAACCGTGTGGTTCATGACTATGCAGTTTAAAAGCCGCGCAGCACCATATTGCAAATCCATCACGACACGCCTTCCATCATGTCGTTTATCTCCGCGACTCGGATCTTGCTCGTGCTATTGTCTATCTACTCTCTTCCATATGCGCAGATCCCGGATGGCCTGCCTATCGACGATGCCAAGAGGCAGTATCTCGAGTCTTTGCCTGCAGAAAAGCTAACCAAGATCTTGGAAATCTTCTAGCAGGCTATTGACGGTCAGGTTCCTACAAGGCCGGAAGTTATTGAAGCTCAGGTACTCTATTGGAGCTACAATAAGAGTCCTCCCTTCTACCCAACCCATTAGTGGCCTTTCTTCCATCATTGCAAGTTTTTCTACTGATCAGTTGATTGACGCCAATCTATGCGAAGCGAAGGTCAGAGGGTTAGATTATTTGGCCGATGTTTATCAACAGGCATCGGCAGTCGTTGACTAGAAGACCGTTGAAGAGAAGGTTTCCATTGTCCCCGGACAAACTTCCACCATAAATGGATGCTCGGGCTAAATGCCCAGAGTTCCTCATTTTGAATTTCCTGGCATTTGAGTGAATGATAGTCCAAATGGTCTACATAACATTCCTGCTGTGAACGCCTATCCATATAGCATCACTATTTGTGCGACATGGAATAAAACTCTTGCCCTTGAATGTGGCTAAACGGTACGGCATCGAGTTCAATCCCAGACCAGTGCTAATCTTGACATCTAGCATCGTCGCTCCCTTGATAAAACTTGCGAAATTTGAACGTGGTCCCGAACTTCCAGCAGACGTTTCTAAGAAACATCAGGTCTTGAGCGCAATAAATCCTCCGTCTTGGAGCAACATCTTTCAGGGTGCTACCGAAGGGGTCGTTTTGGTGAAGAACTACAACCACACGCTACCTTGGGAAAAGCCAAAGATGCCTACTCTTTACGGATACGATGCTCATATCTCTTTCAAAAATATTCCTGAAGTTCCTAACACGAAATACAGTATGAGATGTCAGAATGTCAACGTTACCGATGAAGAAATGCAAGGCTTGTTCATCGGCGTTGGAGACCTGCCTTGGGCCGCGTAATCTGGCACGCTTCTCATTGGAGGCGGTAGCGCCTCTGCCGTGCCTGCTTACATCTCTCCACTCTTCGCGGCTTTCTCGAAAAGGGCGCTTGAGGATAATGCCTTTTGATTCTGGGGGTTTGAATTACAGGACCCTGTCTATGCAAACGCCAGTCCTGACGCTTGTAATGGGCTTATCAATGAATTTGCCGCAGAGGGGTAGGGTATATCCACGCTTGCTGACCCTTGGTCGGATAATGTGGTGATCAATGTTGCCTCTAAGTTCCCTAACGTAGGTTCAAATGTTTAAACTCGTTATAATAAGTTGGAATGTAGCTAATCAGCATCCAGACTGTTGTACCTATATGGTCAGGATTCAGGCAGCGCACTCGTCTAAATTGTGTACGGTGACCAGGCTCCCTTCGGCTATCTCTCTTACACTGTCGCTAAGAGCGGATCTGAATATGGCGACCTCCTCTCTCCCATACGCACCGACAGTACCTCGAACTATTACACATCCGCTAATCTGACGGAAGGCATTTACACTGACTCTCGTCACTTCGATGCCCACAACATCACGCTTCGTTTTGAGTTTGTCTTCGGCCTTACGTACACCACTTTTGAATATGCCGGTCTCAACATCGCTCTCGCTGATTTGGACGCAGATGCCTCTGCTCTCCCACCATCTGCGCCAGTTGTTCAAGGCGGCATCGAGTCTCTTTGGGATGCGCTGGTCGTTGTTAAAGCCGAGATCACTAATACAGGTTTCACATCTGCACCTGAAGTTGCTCATCTATATCTTGTTACTCCAGGCGCACCTGCGAAGCAGTTACCCAGATCCGAGAAGGTGCCGTTGGAGGCAAGCGAGAGCACGACTGTCTACTTTGACCTTACAAGAAGAGGTTTTAGTATATGAGATACTGCGAACAGAGCTTGGTACTATAAGGAAGAAGGTATATGATTTATATTAGGGCGAGTAGTCGAGACATAAGACCAAGTGGGAGCTTGATCATCTGGGTTTGAAGAGAGGAAACGAATGCGACATCAGCATTTTTGTTGCATGATGTTGAAACAGCTGGCTTTTGAAATAGAGGAGAAACAATTTGATGTATGCTCTTCTATCCATCACCCTAATTCTTTATACTTCATAATCGGTACAACTCTAGTTCTGGCACAACCCTATGCATGGATTCCTATTCTGTACTTTCTACAGCTTTGTTTCCATCTTGGTGTCATGCGCTCCTGGCATACAAGTCAATGCAACTTTCGTTATCCGCTAATCTCTCCGAGAGGCTTGAGCCAAAGACGTCAGCAGCGTGCACAAAATGAAACATGACTTGCACCCCAAACATTGGCGCTGTGTCCAACGCGTACATATACACCTCATGACTAGCAAGATAACCATCATGCCCTTGACCGAATTCGATAACCCGGAATATGCAACGTAAGATAATGATGACTGCCGCACACAGTAGCATCTTAAGTAACGCGACCCAGGAATGTTTTCCATGCTGTGGAATGGTGAAAAAAACGGGGGAACTGCGCATCCGCTTCCAGAAAACAAGCGAGATGATTAGAAAGAAAGCGAAGAAAAAGAGTTGAATGAAGAGGCCAATCAGCATGATCGTTTGGCCTGTCTTAGCCATACCTTCTGACGCCATCATGCCACCACCGCCAGCTTGTAATAGAAAGGCGAGCACATCGCCACAGACAAATATCTTTGTCACACGTGTCGGTCTTATGATAGAAGCTTCTGGAGCCCTAACAAAGATGACAAGACGGCCATAAATCATGTAGATTGTTGCCGCGTAGAGAGAGGGAGGAAGAATGATGAAGAGCGATTGACCGATATAAGGGCCTATATCTGCCGGCGACTTCGCGGAGATATATCGGAAAACATAGCCAACAGTCATCACTAAGGTTTGTTAACAAACGATTATAAAAACAGAAACTATTCAACCCTGACGTACTGAAGGAGCCCACTGTGAGAGCGCTATAAAACCATGCCTTCTTTCGCAACAACTGCACGAGATGGTAGATAGCACTGACGCCGAATGCGCCTGCAGCAATGATTGCGCCCGCGAGGCTGGGCTCGTAAAGATATATTCCATTTTGCCCAGCCATTTGATTTGCAGTCACTATTTGACAGACCTTCTTCGGTGTTCTGAGCGGAGAAGAAGCAGGGAAAGTTGAGCGGCTTGAGATGGTTGAAAAGCGGTAGGAACGATGGGTTGTAGAATGAAGAGGTGTAGGACCTTGAGGGAATTAGGTGAAGCGTCTTGTTGGTTACTGTGTACTGTCTGTCCAGGTAGATATAATGCGATCACAATCCAGCTTGCTTGGATTTACCAAGGACTCAGCCTCCACAGTGTGTTTTGAGATCAGGCATCTCCGAAGGCACAGACCCGTAACGCGGCTAGACACGCTCGGCTTGGATGGTTTGATGTGGAAATTGGGATTGGAAAGCATTACGCTATACGAGCCATGACACATCCCATGTTGTGATTGTGATTGTGTATGGAGACCTGGGCCTGAGCGAAGACCGATTTTGGTCCAACAAATGGGCAGGAAGGCGTATTCGGGTAGTAATGCGTATTCGGTTATCTAGGGATTTGATCATTACTCTGGCTCCTCGGACCCACAATTTGAGCGTATTGCGTATGTCCAAGCCCCAATATGAACCTTGTCAGGAGTACATCGTTTCATTATGAGGGAACTGCGCCTCTCTTTTATACCTTGGGAAAGATAGGAGCATGTCAAGCCACCTTGAGGGCCCGCTTTGCGAAACGCCACAATTCTATCCACTCATTTCAGGTCTGCGCAAATCAGACAGAATGAATCATTTTCCCGGTCATGAATGGCTTACGGGTGTACCATCCAATATACCAATAGCCATTCGGATTGAACAGAGCTTTGGCGCAATTTACCGAAAAATGGAAGCAGTCAGGCTCGGTAGGTGCATCCTATCTACAAAAGACCTTCGAAAGTTAGGCTCGTACATCGTGCAGTCATTGCTCTAGTTCATCACTCCCACTCACCTTGTTACGTATATCTGCATCATATTCGGCTGCACTGCACGAATAATCGCATATTCGAAGAGATTAGTAGAGTCTAAAAAGTGTACAACCCAGAGAGAAAGCACTTGCATGCATATGTTTCATATTGAACTAACCTCCAAAGCGGAATCTGTTGATCTTCATTGCTGCAGCTTACAGAACGATGAACATGAGGCGTAATATCCTGTTTTCTCCTCTAGCATGAAACGTACTAAAGGTGTAATAGATTGAATCAAAACCTATCTGATCTCGTTTTGCATAGTAGCTGTGGCGTGACACCGAGGGTCTGGATAAGGTGGTATCCTGACACATAGTGAGAGATATTGGTTCATAAGACGTGGTTGAGGGGCATGTACAAGATTCTACCTTTGAAATAGAACCCTGCGATTGGGAGCAATTGTTTGCAATAGCTACCGCATTGGGCTTCCGCATGAAGTAGACAGCAAGCAACCATAACCAAATGGATATTGAGATAGATCTTAGTCTCCCGTAACTTCTCACCTCTCAATCACTTCAACTCACTGAATTTTCTTAAAACCTCTGCTTCCTCCGCTACATTTGGCTGATGCGCATCATTCAAAAGGCGTCATGTGCTACTTGAGCTTTTAAGATAGCTGCTTATGTTGCTGAAGTTAATGCGCCAATGAGAGATTAGTAGATAGCAAGGTCAGGATAGGCAAAGAGACCAAATATAGCTAAAAGCCTCGAGTGTTAGCAATATAGTGCAAAAAGTAAGAAATTTCCTAGTGGATGTCATGTGAACACATAAGAAAGATCGCTTACTACTCCCTAGCTTCACTACTGAGCCTATCACTGCTTTTTTTAATCCAGCTACTAGCCCTAGGCCACCGTCTTTTGTTAAACCCACGGCCGGCTGTTTGAACAAACAATATATCGGATCCGCAAAACCATTTTGCAAAATTCTTACTGGCCTGTTTGCTCCCAGTCTTTTAATCTGAGATCAGTCTCTTCTTCCGGACCTTTTCGTCATACACTGTAGTACTTATACCCTTTGACAGGAGCCGAGGCGAGGGTGCCAAAGCCGTGGCCGAAGCGGACGACGCTAGCAAGGACGGAGGAAGAGGTTGCTGTCAGGGGATTTCAACGTTCCGTTTCAAAATAGGAGAGGTTGAGGTGTTTTCGTATTATTTTTAAGGTTGGTTCACTGAGAGAAATTATTATCGTTGAACAAGATGTTGTGAAGTAGAGATAAAGGGGATGTCTTACAAGTTGAGCTTGGTCAAGTCTAACAGTTTGTGCTTACTTAAGACCGTGACTGCTTTAGAGAATAATCTAAGGCCCTTGGTAGCTATCTTCCATTGTCCCTTGAGTGTCTTTGCATCGTACATCTATACCCTGCTTTCGGTCGGAAACAGGCTGCATGCGACATTTGCCTGGGGTTGATTGGTGTGAAATGATCCTACAGTACATCTCACAACCTTCCCGCATCGCATATTGCTGCGATATCCTTTGCTGAGCGCTCTATATTTGGATCGAGCAAAGTTTCAATGATAACTGTGAAGCTTTTCTCGGTGAGAGATGCATGAGGAACTGGGCGAGGCCCAGTGTCTGCAGCGGCTACCACGTCGTCCCAAAACGGCTGACTGGAAACGAGTGTCAGCAGAGATTAGCTTCATTTTCAAAGAGATTTACTCACTCTTCAAGAAATTGGATAATGGAAGTTGGACACGCGTTCAGAAGTCCGCAGGCCATTATTCCTGCACCGCCATGATGCGCACTCCAGAGACGCGCTTGAATAACAATATTGGACACGTTGTTAGCTTGTATGGATTTTGAACTCGGCCTTAGCATTACCATGAGAACAGTCCCCAGTGAACAGCACATTCTCATACGGATCAGCATTGATAGGAAAGATTTGAGATCTGACTCGCGTACAAAATTCTTGACGACGTCATGAGTCGCAATGCGTATCCTGTGACAGTAAGGCTTGAGTTCAGTACCCAAGGCTTCGAAGGCATTGAAGAGCTGAATAACCCGTGTACAGGCTCACAAGCTTTTGGGTACAACACAGAGAGTTCAGGGCAGTGAACATACCTCGAATTTTAACGATGTGTATCATGATATTGAGTGGAGGAACTTAGGTCCTCTTGTGATCATCAACGGAGTATTGGGTATTAGTGTTGGGCGATGAACTATTCTTCTGAGTCCTTTCATACAGAAAACTGTCCAATGTACCAGCGTCTTGCGTACCAAAAGTGAAGTCGATACGGTAGTGGTCTTCAATGTGAGAATGGGCCACCCAAACAAATGGTGCAGAATGAGAAAAGCCTTTGCGGTGGCTGAAGTTCGAAGATTTTTGCCTGCAAGTCCGAGGTCGGCCTCCTCGTCCTTTTTGGACGTTGGGTCCAAATGATGCATGATGATGTTGCAGGGTAGAAAGACAGGTCCTCATGCTTTTGCTATGAGTTCTTGGCGGTAATATGATTCTTAAGGCCGTTACTCAACCTGGCTTTCAACGCATTAGCCTGATCAAAATTTGCGCACGGAAGGGAAAGTAATATCACTTCATGATCAATCCAAGTCACATAGCACCAATTGTGGGTACGCCAAATACGTACCCGCAATACGCATACGAATACGGAATACGCATCCCTAACACGCATTCCCCTTGTTTCACAATTTTCACGTGGCAGATCCGTGTTTGGACCCATAGTTAGCTAGGCTGCATAAGGCTAGCTTATCAGGCTATTTTAGGTTCGCCGAGCTTCCCGGAGAGTTCATCTCCTGTTCTTGCCACAAGTCTCCTTGGCAACTCGATCCAGGCGTCCCAATAACTTCCTGAAGTATCCTTCACAGCTGTCACGATATTTCCCCCTCAGCCTTCCATCCACTAATATCTCTCGAGCCGAACAGACAGCCCTTCAAATTGAGCAAACAAAATCAGCGCAGCTAGGTGACGCTGCTGCAAGCGCAAGGAAAAATCATCTGGCGCGAGACTAAGCCAAATAAACGGACCACTCCAATTACTGTGGTATCCCCAATGAGGATGTGAAGCAACTTCTGGAAAGACATGCTCAGAAATATTTTGAAACAGAGTAGTACAAGCCTAGTACTTGCGCAGCAGGTACAAAAACTCGCTATACATGTGTGCGGCAGGGCTGTTCGCCCATATCGACTCGAGAGATTGCAGCTCCGCGTTGTAGGGTACACTGACGGCATCCGGGTCAAGCTCATTCCAGTTTCAGATCCTTAGTAATGAATTTAGCGGGCAGACGCTAACGTCTTTGCGAATCTGCTGTAGCAATCCACTTACGCCTCGTATCAATGGGATCCAGTCCTCACCGAGGATACGCGAGCGATGATCGGCTTAGGACTAGTTTGCATCGCCATGATACATATTTCCGAAAGTGATGAAAACGTATCAAATATTTATGGAGGCGCTCGCAAAGGAAGCGTCACTGTTCTCTTTATTTATTTTGCGAAGTTTGGCTTGGAAGTCGCGAAGGGCTCTGTTATGATGTTGGGCAGCTGTTGCGATCAGGTTATGTTTCTTTGTTTGGTCGAGGTACGCTAGATGTAGCGCTGTTGAGGCTGAATATATCATGCATAACGTATGGATGTTGAGCTCCAATGTGTACCATGACGATTTGCCAGATATAATCAACACCTGGGGTATTGACCATTGTAAGACCGGTGACGAGAGACTGGTCATGGAGCAGAATGAGATCGTCCATGGTGAAGGAATCCGGATCTCTACCATCGTTAGAGGTTTGAGGCGATATCGTGGCGAATGTGTGTAAAGTACTGCAATCTGACAGCCCAGGTGAACATGCGCTAGTAGTCGGCGGATGAGGCGTAACTTGGAGGGATAGAGTAGCAGGCATGGGTGCTTTCGAGAAACGTGGAGATACGTAGCGCGCACCTCTCCGCATGTAGTACCCACAGCCACTCTTTTCCTCATCGCACTGTGCCATCCATCAGACAACCTGGTTCCAAATCTATCTTCAAGCTGAACGCGCCTTGATCTTCCTGCGCTTACACTGCAGACATCCGTTACACGATTTGGTATGTGACCGTCGTTTTCTAAGCAGTTTAAGATCCATTATGTTGATGCGGAGGAGCCAAACCAGGATGCGGAGCCGGTGATAGGTACGGCTTCGATGCACAAGAACACTTTGGGCACAATACGATATCGATATCTCTGACAACGTCACATGTGTGTGAGGTATATGGTAAGACAAGATACGTCAGTGCCAAAGACACACAGGGACTTTGCTGCGGTCTTGAATATGTACGATCAGGAGCGCCGTAGATGCGCCATGTATCTCGAACAACAGCACGATAGGGTATCTCTTCGGGTTTTCTGTGCAGAGGAGCTTCACAGGGCCGGCCTTCGTGAGATGATACCCCCGCAAAGGACCATGTATATTGAATCAGCCGTTCCCCGCATCCCTGCATGCGGCAGGCCACCACCACAGGGGTATGAGCACTCGATTCAAATACACTTCAAAGCCGTTTTGCCACAAGGCTTCTGCTTTGAACAGTGCTATAATATCGATGATGTGTACAACAGGTGGAGGAGCTTGGATGATGGGACCTTGACCCTTAATTCGAGAAGGAGCGGATGATATGCAGGCCCTTGATTCAAGAATGCTACGAGTGGAGATTAATTCACTGTGGTTTCGGAGGTGCACAATTGGAAAGCCTGGTTAGACATTACTCATATTGTTGTGGATGAGTTCTTGGAAAGCGTTGTGAACGAATACTACCATTTCCATAAAACATGTTACGATGGCAATCAGATATGCAGATACGGAGCAAAAGGGAGAAGTTCACATTGTATGGAAAACCAGCTTTTGGGGAGGCTATCAGTTCGTGTTAATATTGACAGCATGGATTTGCAGCGCGAATTTATAGCAAAAATACACTTAGCATCGGAGGATGAAGGGAGGCCTTAAATGGAAAGCTAACTTACCATCCCCAGGCCTTCCATCTCACATGCTTCTAATATACAAAAAGCGTTAGTTCTACAAGTCTCTCCTCTTGACTCTCAGTGCAGCTCCGCTGATGCTTGCGCAACTGCCTCTCTCCTTGCTAGGTGATGCTCTGAAGCCACAACCTTAGTCTGCTCGTCCTTCTCAAGTGACGTGGCAACGCATACAAGGCCAGTAAAAAACCTTTCTCGCTTCTCCCTTCGTTGCCCTCGACACCGACCAGGAAGCGCGACTGCAACCGTATGAAACAAAAAGCGTCAACCTACCGGAATCAAGGGCTGTGGAAAGATGCCGAAGAGCTAGAAGTGCAAGAAATAGTGGCGAGCAAGTGATATCTTCGGTAATGCGGGAGCAAAATAATATCACGATACGATCACATAGCCAATGACTCCCTTTGCCAAACGTTGACCAGAAAGAGAAAAATCACGGTGCTTCGACAACTTATCTCATCAGACGCTCTTTCCCAATCTCGACTATATTATTGACAGGACTGTCAATGTGGATCGTTATGATTCGATATAGTTTCATGAATATGGTAGGTCGCCCCAAGTATGTCCAGATATGTCTGGATGTCGGGGCAGATCCGATCTGCGCTCAGGGCTGAGAAGAAGGTGACGTGCCTACGACCAGACAACCTCCTTGCGTGTTCATCTCGGCACCCGCATCTAACAGCATCTGGGCTATCTGTTCGAGTCCCCTAGCTGAAGCAACCCGCAGTGCGTTGCCGCACTCTCCGCCCTGTGCGTTGACGTTGGCGCCTTTATCAAGTAGCATCTTGACTATTTGCTCATGGCCCCTTTCTGATGCTGCATACAGTGCGTTGCCATACATACCGCCTTGCGCATTAACGTTCGCGCCTTCAAGCAGCATCTCAACTATCTTTATACGCCCCTCTGTAGAAGCTGCTTGCAGCCCGTTGCCGTAAGGACCTCCCTGCGCGTTGATCTCGGCACCTTCGTCTAGCAGTATCTTAACCACCTGCTTTTGCCCCCCTGCTGCAGAAGCTGCCTGCAGCGCGTTGCCATAGAATCCGCCTTGCGAATTAACATAAGCGCCTTGTTCAAGCAGCATCTCAACTATTTGCACATGCGCTTCTGAAGAAGCTGCCTGTAGGGCAGTGCCATCGCGTCCGCCTGGCACGTTAACGTCAGCGCCTCTGTCAAGCAGCATCTTGACTACTTGCTGGTGTCCTTCCGAACAGGCGGCTTGTAGCGCGTTGGCGTATGCACCCTTGGCCATGTAAAAGTTGACATCGGCTCCTTCGTTGAAGAGACGATCGACGATGCTTTTGTGACCTGCCGCGGCTGCTAATACAAGGGCTTCCCCCAATCGCCTCGTCGAAGGGTCTACCCACGCTCTTTTTTCTAGCAGCTTGCACAAGGTGCGTTCTTTCCCATGCTCAGCTGCCCACAGTAGCGCAGTGCTGTTGGAATGTCGTATATTGTGGTCGTAGAGGTATGGGTTGGTAAGGTGGTAGAGGAGACGATTGGCTCGCGCAAATGCGTTGAGATCGCTCTCTGCGTGTAGGTGTTCGGCTATAGCGTAGAGAAGCTCGCGAGGTAAGTTGGTTAGTGACATGATGGAGGCTTCTCTTTGCTACAAGACAGAGTACCTGCATCCTGCTCAATTTGAGTAAGTGGTGTAGTTTGCTTGATATAATGCTGTACGCGGGTACAAAGCGACTAGGATACTAGGGCTAAATAGTGGTACTAACAAAAGCAGACGGCACGGTCAGCCGAGACGGCTGTAGACAACATGCCTGACTCAGGACAAACCACCATCGACAACATCGCAAGCGTGGCAGAGTGAGCTACCACCATTCTCCACCGCGTGGGAATCCGTCTCGCCTGGATGGGTGGGTAAGAGAACCGGACAAGGAGAAGTGGTTGAACTTATCGCAAGTCTGAAAGAAACAATAGTACAGCGAAGTAGCATAATTGAGAGTATGAGAAACGGCACCGCAGCAATCAAAGAGGAATAGCAATACCTCAACGATTAGAATGCCGAGCTCTGAGCAACGATCGGCTCCCTCCGAGCGCAGCTTAACAATGTTTTAATAACGCCTCCATCAACACAGACATAGGCCTCGATTATGGCCAGTGGAGGCATGGCCAGCGGAGTCACGACCGGCTTTCAAACGACGCGTTGGCGAACAATGAGCGACGGGAATAAAGACAAGGGGTACAGCCGGCAACTCGTGATCGATGTTAGCTGCGTGGGGAGAAGCAGCGGCAAAGAAAGTCACTGACACGGAAGCTGCCAAACAAGCCATTCAGCTGGGCATCAACAACATCAAGAGGTTGAATGGCTGGAGCCGCACATCCCAGGTGGGAGACTCGTTGGACCCAAGTGGTACCCAGTCAACGGAGACTGGGTCGAGGCTTCGCTTGCAGTGGACGCTGAGAGCGGCAAAGTAAGCAAGTCGATCATGGAGCGTTTTGGAGCGGAGAGCGGGGTAGAAGCTGTGGACGATGAGATGGCTCGGATGACCAAGGCCAGGCGGGCAGCATGCATCGGTAGTCATTAAGATGGCAACCAAAAAAGATGCATGAAGACTGTTGAAGTAGGACAGCATAACGTTTGGTGGAAGCGGGACTATCGTATCGCCGTTCGAAGAGCGACGCACACCAGTCGCTTGTTTCCCGTGTAAGTAGGAGGTTTGGCCACCGACCCGAGACATGTGACATGTGTGGACAAAAGGGCCATCTTCAATGTGAGACAACTAACCTACGCCGTGTAAACTGCCAGCGCGAACACCGGGCATCGGATCGAAATTGCCCAGCATTGTGGAAAGAGAAGGAGAGAATCGTTGCTATTCGGCATCATACATGGCCTGACGTTCCAGCCCTCTGCCGAACTTCTGCTTTGGACGTCGCCTTATCCGCAACCGCTGCTGCTGTACCCCACAAGAGGCGGACATGGATCGAAGCAGCTATGTAAGGCAGAGGCTCCATGTAGGTGGACACGCTGCCACCTCTGGAATATATATCATCTTGAATATATACAAAGCAGTACTTGCTAGGGCAGTCGTACCCACACTGGATGCTCAAGTGACAACGGCTGTGCACAAAACATGAGTCACCGCTTATGCGAGTGGCGGAGACGTGTACGTAGGTGCGAATAGACACGGTGCTGGAAGTCAAGCCATACGCATGCGCGCCGTGGGCAGCGCGGCCTGAGGCGGTGATCTGTGAAGACGAAAAGCAGGCGCAAGCCATGGCCGAGGACTGCCAGCCGGGGCGGATGAACTTATACGTGGACGCATCGGTGCGCAACGGCAGGGCAGGCAGGTATCGGGGTATATGCCAGACTGCCACGAGTGCACGTCTCGAAGACGGTAGCAAACTCCGAGCAAGCGGATGCACATCTCACAGAGCTACTTGCCATCAATGAAGCAGCCGATTGGTCATGGAGTCCGTCGTACATAGCGCTCGATAGCGATAGCCATGGCCGCCTCATACCGGCATCGAGCATTCGCATCTTCTCCGACTCGCAGTCAGCGCTGCTCTTGGTTAAGAGCTCGAGAGCCATGGCAAGTCGTCATCTGGTGAACATTGGACCACAACACATCAAGCTCGTTCGGCGTATGCTGCGGTATCTCAAGGGCACGAGGAGTTTCCGACTCACATGCATACGTCACCTTCAGATGCTGGAAAGATTTACAGGCCCAGACTGGGCCGGTTGTCATGACACGCGACGATCGGCTGTGACCTGAACCCTCACTATCAACCCGTAATCCGTTCACTCACGATGAGTGCCGAAAATTCGGCTCTGACTTCGCCATCTTCGGTCTCGAGTACTTCCAGACGACATTCTATATTTTCTGTTTCCTCAACTGCCGACCGCGATAAACCTCTCCTAGCAGGCGCACCGACATCCTACCGCTTCGAAATACGGCCCACTCCACACGCCGGCCGCGCCGTCTTTGCTGTACAGGACATGCTCAAGAACGCACTGCTGTGGCGCTTAGATGACCCCACCTTGTTAGTCCTCCTACGAAAGTACCAGCTGGGATGACGAAGGTGTGGGAAGATGTCACTGCTCGGGCAGGCTTGATACATATTGTGAGGGAAAGCAGACACGGTCCAAATTACAAAACGGCATAATAAAGCACTGCAAAAGGCACTGCTTCAGCCCGTCCCACCAGGCTTCATAATTATCTGCGTCAGCGGCATCCTCTGGCGTTACCACAATTCGTACGACTGGGAAAAGCTTCTCGCTCTCGCTCTCGCCTCAGACAGCACGCCCTACCACAATGCCGACGACCTCAGCGCCTTCACACGCACTTATCTACATCTCCTTGCCATTCTCCCGCCGCTTCTCCTCCCCCTTGTCACAGCAGAAATTGAAGATGTAGGTCAAAGGGTTTGTGACTACACTGAAGAGACATAGCAGCAATGAAGGAAGATGCTTGGCACATGCCATTCCGCTAACCCAGAATAAGGCTACGATTAGGATTCAAGTAGATCCATGAGTCTTTGGGAGTCGAAAGCTCTGGATTTGCTCTAGGCTACGCGTGAAGCTGATTGACAGCGCCAAGCTCAACAGGTCTGGCTATTGGTTACAGCTTACTACTGTAGGTGGTCAGTGCGTGCAACAGTTCATGTTACAAGTAACAAGAAGGATTCTCTCCTTAACAAATAACGAGATGGCTAAAGGCCTATAGACGTCTACGTAAAGATCACGTAATATAGTATCTCGCTAAGATA